AAATCAAATGAAGATGCTAAAATTTTTTTTTTTTTTAAATTTGAGTTGCTAATTGCTTTCACAGTAGAACAATGATTTCATCAACTGTGTGCATGTGTGTTTACTATATATTTCACTGTGTTGTATCTTGTGAGGATTCCTGAGGAAAAATAGCTTTGAAAGATGTCAGTGCAATTTGAAGAACCTTAGAGATACCCTGGGGTAGATTCTGAAGCTTAAATACAGAACAGAACAGAAAATATATCTACAGACATCACTCAAGTCTGCTGTATATAGAAATCTGTGGAGGGCAAAGAGGGAAATAGATTTTTGAGAGCTTACCATCTGTGAGGGTGAACTTAACCTTCTGCTGGACTTGGGCAGTTTGTGGCTAAAAAAATCATGAAAAATGTCCAATAAGGCTCTACAGGAAAATAAATTAACTTGAAATTGGTCTAGATATTAGGAATTCTAGGTTTCTACTTGTTCTAAATCTCAACTGAGTTACCAGTTTCAAAAGTTTATTAACATCTGCTCTTTTGTCCTTTACTATTTCCTGGAAACAGCTCAAAATCATTCTGATTTATGAAAGCCTTAGCAGAACAGTGTGATTCATTGCATTATTTCTAAGCATGCAAAATAATCTTCTGAAGTTACAGGTAATTTAGAAATGAGATCTCTCTCAAATATTCTCAATGTCCTAGTGTTATCTATATGAAAAACTGTTTTAGGATGCGATGTGATTAAGGCAGCACTAGTGAGTTAAATTTTCAGATTCTGGTTGAAACAAGTTTTTAAGAGATGGAACTCAACTTGTGGCTGTGTAAATATTGAAAGAAAGCACAACTGATGTGAATGGTGAGTGACAATAAGTATAATGCTGTTGCAGGGTATTGACTACTAACCAGAAAGTATGTTTGTTCTTTAGTGTTGATCCCTCAATTGTAAACATATCAGACGAAATGGCCAAAACTGCACAGTGGAAGGCTCTTGCCATGAGTACTGAGAATGCCAAAGTAACCAGAGCTAACCTGAGGTAGCTATAATTACTCACACATTTTCTAACTGTGATCTTGTGTTTACCAGCTAATAACTGTACTTGTATTTCTTGAAATGTATCTTAAAAAAAAAAAAAAAAGAGCATATGTGGTTTGTAAATCTTTGTTGACTTTTTACTTTCAAGGAACTTGACTTTGAACCTTTAATTACTTTGAAGTTAAACAGTTTCTTTAAGGATTTCCAATTATTTTATTACATGTATTACTACAATTTTAAACTTACTCTTTATTTGCTTAATACAGTTGTATGCTACTCTGATGGGTTTAGGGTTTCTAAAAGCTTTACTAGAGTGTATGAGCATTGGAATTGTTTGATCCTGAACATTACAAATGCCAGTAGGAATAAAAGGTAAGTGCAGCCCTTTCACTGTTGCTTTATGCTGCCCTAGGATCTGCCCCGTTTTTGTGGATTGGTTGGTTGGTGTGTTTTTCCTCAGCTCATTTTTAATATCTAAAAACTAAACCTGGCTCGAATTTTACCGGCACTGGATATGAAATAAACAAAGTACTGAACAGATTAGGAGTCCTCAGTGCTGTGAACATTTCCTGTAAGCTGACATCTTCGCTGATGACCAGGAGCCTGTTTCTCAGTGAGCTCTCCACCAAACAAGAAATTCTGTGTGCAGTGAATCATTCTGCTGCTTTATCGTAGTTCCTACCCTCCTTCCCTGTCTGGCTGAATCTGTCAAGGGGAACAAACCAAATCGTGAATATTTATGTGGAATATCCCCACCTTCCTGACAGGCTTGTAATTTATAGGGACTGGTATCTGTGGACTATTCCATCACAGTGCAGCTATTGCTTAGTAGTTTTTATGTAGGAAAGGAAGGGGAATGACCCTGGCAGACTTGGAAAACGAAGCTTATGCAGTCCTGCTTGTCTGTACATGCATCTTCTTTTGGTTGATCCCTTTCGGCCAAATCTGTCAAAGGAAGACAGGTTTCGGAGACATGATATTGTCATGTTTTGTGTAAAATTACATCTCGGTGGAAGAGCTGCTGGTGAGGGAGTGTTCATACATAATTGTGCAAACTATCGGGGACTGTTGAGTTTGCACCGTGGGAACAGCAGCAGCGACTGGTCACTCAGCCCTTGTGTACCATCCGTGCATTCAGCAGGTGCGTTGCTCTGAACTAGGCATGGAGAGAGGCTTTGTTTTGCTGAGACAGTAGGTCAACCAAGGGTGAAGGAGAAGACAAGGAGAGAACTTGGAGGTATGGTATTGTAACAGGACAAGCTGAAGAGACTCATTAGTGCAGGCACTAGTTTCAGTGAATCTTCAGCCTGTATTGTTTAAACTTTTTTTAAAGAAGTGTTTTAAATAAACATTTTTAAAACTTGAGTACTACCTAAGCTAGACTGTCATGAAGGCAGATAACAGAGGTATTACATAGAAACAGAGTACATTTCAGTATACCCTCATTTTTTTTATTTTTAATTTTCTTTCATGCTAAGTATTCAGAAACCTGTTATGTAATTTGTGGATGCTTCTAGTGCGTTTTATGATAGTCATTGGGTGTATAAGGGTTGAAGAGATACAGACCTGTACTTCTCTTTCCAGAAGAATTAAGATTTTTAGATTTGATTTTCAGGCAGTTAGAAGTTAGTACAACTCCTTGTGCTTTCCTGTTATCTGAGTAGATTAAGTTAACACAGAATTATGTGCAGCACTAGCAAATTAGGCTTCTGAGCAGTTTGCAAAGTTTTTTCATCTACTTAGGTCATATTCAATATTCCATCTATTTTTTATATTTTGCTGTAAGACATTTCCCTTTGATTCCATAATGTGCTTCACTTTAGTGTGGTAAGAGTTGCACCTTGGAAGGAAACTTGCTAAAACTACAAATTGAAAATAAAACAACACTGGTGCTGGAAACTAGCTCTTTCAAGAAGCAATCTGATATTGCATAAATCTGGAAAATGTTAGAAGGCAGAACTGCCTTGAGCCTGAGCTCAATTGGTTGCTGTTTCGAGGTATTTGCTGCCCATTCTTGTATAGTGGGTGCTGGAGAGATTTAGATATGTCGCCACTGCTTAGTCCAAAGCAATTCCCAGTAAATTTTTCATCTCAGTTCTGTTAAGGTTTTTCTGTGTAACAGTCTTCATCTGATAGTGTGGACAGATGTTTAGTGCTGTGGTAAAAATCATTCTGTAGGCACCGCTATTTTCGGATTTATAGATTTCAAATAGGATGCAGTTTGAAGCAAGCAATGTCTTTTGGAATTCCAGACAACATACTGTGTGGGTTGGCATTATTGCTTAAAAACTTTATCTTTTTTTAAAAATTGTATTTTAAATTTTCTTTTCCTTTCCTGAACTGATCCAGATTACTTTTTCTTTCTTCCTTCACCATGTCTCATATTTTATAGACTCTGCAGAGTCCAGGCACACTTACATTTTCTGAGGAATCCCAGAATTTTTCTCTTTGCATGAGTCTCTAATTTTTTTTTTTTTTTTATTCCTTAAGGAGCAACTCCACAGATGTTTTGTGTATTCTAAAATACATGCTTAGGGAATCCTCCCTTTTATGCTGTTCCAGTTTCTCTTCTACAGTCCTGTAAGTGCCTCGGGACGTTCCTTTCTGCCTTTGGATAAGTCACTGGCAGCGGCTGGGTCCCTAAGAGTGTCAGTTGTTCAGCTGCCAGCCAGCCTTTGTCTTCGGGGTCTTCCACTTGAATGGACACTTACACAGCTTTCGAACTGTCCTCTACTGTTGTTACAAGTATGGTTCCACATTTTGAAAAGACTGAAATGTTTTCTCAGTCTTGTCTGGTGAACAAAATTGTTTTGCTGCCCAATAATTCATCAGTATTAATGATATTGCTTGTTAGTATTTTTGAGTATTTATGACTAGACAGTTTTGTGAGTTTTGTGTCTGTTCTGTGTGTCGTGTCCCGTCCCTGTCTTCCCCCCCTCCAAGTTCTTCTGCAAAACAAATTTAAATCAGTAGAATCAATAAAAGCAGTGTGCCTGGAAATGGTATTTATAGATGAGATCTAGGTGATTTCTCTCTTTAAGCTTGTACTGTTCCTGTGAATAGTATCTAATAATTACTAGAATGTAACAGAAATGCATCATCATAGAAGTATCCTTGCATAAATACTTTCAGTGTTCATTGTTAAGTATAAAATGTTTGAAAGTTAACCTTTACTAAAGTGAACCGAACCTTACATTTTCCTCTTTGCTTTCAAACAGCCCTGAAAAACCAGAAAGTGTGAAAATAAATGTGGAAGATTTGCCTGTTGTGAAATACGTGGATGCTGAAACGTCTTTATAGAACTGAATCAAGGGGAATTGCGTGTATTTGTGTGTGTGTATATATCACTGTAGGATATTCTACCATTGGAGTGTGATTTCCATTTTAAGGAGCAACATTTATTTAATTCTGCCATTCTTTAGGGCACTGTAGATATGCTTGCATAATGAGAAGATTTTCCTATGAATGAGTGGTAATCACACTTCAGCTATTTATTTTATTGGAAATTTTATTTTCATTTTTAAATAGGAAGATTGTAATGAATGCTTATTATTTTCAATAATCAATATGTGCATAAAAGTTAAATCAGCTTTCGCTGATGATTACTGGTCCACATTGCTTAAAATTCTGCAAATACCTCTGTTTGTAGTGCGCTACCGCAGTTTGTTTTCCATGCAGGCAATTACTGTTTGTTTATGCAGGGTATACTTTTTGTGATTCATAGAACAAATATTAATGTGCAGTTGACAAGAACTACTGTGTTTTAGGTCTCCACTACATGCTAGTGTTTTCTGGATTCTGTCTCTCCTGTTTTAGAGAAGTGGCCTAGAACCCTAAGTCAGGTGGTTAGATAATCCTTAAAATATAGATAAATGCTCCGTTCTGCTACTTTTTTTTTTATTTACTCTTGATTTTTTCACTATTGTCCAGTAGCAGTACGAGTGCAGTAATTGTTGTTACAGTCCCAGGTCAGTATTTCCCATTCTGAACGCTCCATGTTTACACAATATAAATTGGATTTACAGTCAGCAATTTGGTCTATAGGAAGTTATACATACTTACCACACTAGTACTTTTGAATTCTTTTGTTCCTGTTTGTACTTACATTTTTCCATCAACGTTCAGAGTCTGATTTACTCAGCTATAAGATTGAAACTTTAGAGTATTTCATGTTCTCTTCAAATATATTTTTTTCTGAAGTTATTTTAAACTTACTGTGTTCTTGATTAAATAGTAGTAGTTTAATTCTGTAATAGGTTTATGATCAGTATTATTTTATGAGTTACAAATTGCTCGTGGTATTTGTGTGTACAGTTCTGATCCTCTCCATTGTAAAGGGCATATATGATAGCACACCAACTTATTTTTAAACATTTTATTTATTTTAATTAGTATAAATTTTTCTCATGTAAGATGAATTTTAAAAGTAATTATTCATTTATTAAAGTAAATGGGATTTTTGGGGGCTCACTGATAACGATGCAGTCAGTTCATTTATTGTACTTACATTTTCAAGTTCTAGTGTTTAGCATTATAGTGTTTGAAATAATGGGAATTTTATGTATAAATGAAAATCTTGGTCATTTACCTGTGCAGTTTCCATTATTAATTTTTTTTTTGCCTTATACCTTAGTTTTTTGGCTTTAATTTCTGAAATGATCTCTTCACATTCTGAATTGCCACCAGCCCTTTCTGGGCTGTATGTATTGCAATGGCTTTAATTAGAATCTGTGCTCATTTAAAATTAGAAGATGCTGTTTGCTTAATTCTACTTTTGGCAAAGTTGGGAGTTTTACCATGGACCACGTGGTAAAATTCTCAGCAACTGCAAAAGGAGCTGATTCTGGAGGAAGGCAGAGTTCATCTGAAAATACCACTTGAGGTAGAATTTTGGTGCTCTTCAGCCAAGTGTCACTTGGAGAGAAGGTAATTATATATTACAAAATTAGAGCAATCAGTGGGAATTAATAGAAACATTTAAAACAAATATTTAAGTGACATGGACTGTTACCATTCCCTTTAAATGTAATGTAATTAAATAATGTTTTTCTTTTTTTTCTCTTCTTTTTACATTTGGCTGAATTCTGAGAAGACAGTTTAAAGAAAGTAAATCATAGTGTACAGCAATACGAATAATGCTATCCAAACTGTCATAACAGAGGCTCAGGTCAGTGGCAAGGCAAGGGAGGTCTGTGTTACCAGTTGGACTAACACTGTGTAATGGCCTGTATGCATGTTCCTTTATCCTTGGATAGTAGCATAGCTTGTGCCTTAGCTTGAGTATGTGCTCTTTCAGGAAATACCCATATTTTCCCTCTAGTCAAACTGAGTTACAGTGAAACTGTAGCAGATGGATTCCAAAAACTTTCTGCATTATTGAGAAAAAAAGAAAAAAAAAAGTACACATCTGCGTATCAGTTGTTGACTACCAAGTAGCTCTTGCTGAATCAGAGGGCGAAGATATTTTGGGCAGTTTATGTAGCTTTATCCACAGTACATTACTTTTGTACAGTCCTCGCAGTAGTATTTTACATTTAATGTTCACAGTTCTGCAACAGTTTCCAAAGACCCCAAAAATTATTATATGCCTCTTAGATTTTTAACTCTTTTAATGCTGGAAATCAGGGTTCCCTGGTGCTGCACACCTTGTATCTGGCTTCTACTTCAGAGGGTTAAGTTTTGGTCAATATTACGCATGGCCAGCACCGTCTCAGGTAGGACGTGGCTATGGGTCCGGGGGGGGGGGGGGGGGGGGTGTCCAGTAAAGGTGAAAGAAAACAACCCCAAAGCCCCACAAGTCTAATCGCAGTATTTATTTAGTTTTAATTGTGTAGATATTGTAATCGGTGCCAGAAATACCATGACTTGCAAAGCAGTTTACAGTGACCTTTAGTTCCAGTGATCTTGGTCAGCAGCATGTTATGCTTGCACTTTCCCCCATATGAATAAAAGATGTGGTATTAAGCACATAAAACCCCACTGATAATCTATGGTTAAGTGATTCGCCCCTCATTTTACACCTTCTCTTCTTTAAAATCACACATAGTATTAAAGTAAAATGGCTTGGCTAGGGACGTAGTTTACTGTATGTAGATGTGTGTTTTGCCTTAACGGATGCAAAAAGGCAGTGAATATTGCTGTGCACTGATTTTTTTTCGTAGGCGTTAAGCCCTGTAAAAACTATGCCAATGTATTTCCATTCCAGCAGTTAGAGGAAAATTAACGGCCCTGCACTTTTTTTTTAGATGCCTTGGTTTCCCGGAATGGAGTTTAGTGCTACTGTGTATCTGGCTGCAGAGCCACCTCAGGAAGTCCCTCTTTGTTTCCTTATTTCTTTTTTTTTTCCTTTTCTTTTTCTAATTTATTTATAAATATGAATGTTTACATAAAGTGTAGGTCTTAATTTTGACCACTCCATTTAAATTATCATCTAAAATATTTTACTTAAAATGCAGTCTCGTGTTTAAATTATGTTCTACAAAACTCAGTATTTTCATATGTATTACAATGACACGCTTCTCATTCTGCTCACATATGCCCAAATTAATTATACTTCCTTCCTAGATTAATTTTGCAGCTGTAACATAATATCTTACATGATTATTCAGCGAAGTGTTCCAAATTGCCAAGTTTGTCATCGTAAAACCTGTTAGGGTAGAATTTGGTGCCCTGGTGGGGGTTTTTCAACCAAATGTCTTGGCCATTTTTTCTACATTTAATGGAAGTTCTCCTGTAAGTTATCATTTGCTTCACCTGCATCGCTGTCTTTCCATGGTAGCGTCCGGTTTGCGCCCTTTGCAGAGGCGGGTTTGACAGGCTGTCAAACACCGCGCTGACACAAAGAGGCATCGCGGAGCCTGTGCTGTTTGGAAGGGTTGTCATGTACATACATTCTTCTGTAAATCGTTAAGAGAAATGGTTCGTGATTTTTCCGTTCACAAATGTAGTCTGTTAGATGAGCACCACCATGGTTTTAGTTCTCTTGTTTGCTTTATGTGATTAGTAATGTTTTAATTACTCATCTAGGTCAAATTCATTATCAAGTACAGTACAAATGTGTGAAATACTTTGTTTATACCAACAATAATTTATTTTACAGCAGATTTTAAGACTAGAGGCACACAGCTTTGAGTCAGTAGTGCTATAAATAAAGCCAATTGCTTGGTCATTTTAAGTTGATTTTATTTTGTAACACTTTTAGTGAAACCTTATAGGACTTCTTAGCTTGCATTGAAGTTAATCTAAAAACACTTTCATACTGAATTTGGTATCTGACATTTCTTTGGAATAATGAGTTTGAAAATCAGTACTTTTCTAAATGATTTTATTGGCAAGACATCATTTATAATATTTTTCTTTTTATTGTTGCTGATACTCCTGCGCAAAGGTGTCTTCCAGGGTTCGGCATCTGTAGCTGAACTACGATTTTGGTTTTAATACTGGTTATTGAAATGTGATTACATACTGTACGGTTCGAATTTTTTATGACTGCTTTTCTAATTACAATGACGTTTTCTTACTTTGTTACAAAACCCAAAGCAAGCGAAGGCGTTGTTCCAGCCGTGCGCGCTCCGCGTTCAGTTTGTACCGAAGACGCGGCGCCCAGACCGCTCCTCGGCGGGGGCCGGCCGCCTGGCGTCCGAGTAATTACTGCCGAAATGGAACTTCTCTTTTGTAACGTTTCAGGAAGCTGGTAAAAGCAATAAAAACCTACTGAATTACCTCACGCCTCTCCCAGCTTTTGTCCGGGGGAGGGTTGGGAAAGGGAGCGGCTCC